TTGGTCATAAGGGATAAAGCATCTTTAATGCGGGTTCTAACCTTTTCTCCTAAAAGGATGGGAAGACCCGGAAGGAATTTTTCTTTCCAAAAAGGTTGGTTGGAGTCTTCTCTTAACATGGCTCCGGTGAGGAAGGTGTTTTTGTAGTATTGAAAGTCACTGAGTTTTTTACACCTAAGGTTACTTAGGAGTTCAACGTTTTTGTCTTTAAGGTGAGAAGGATGTCCTATGAAATGTAGGGAGATAGTCGGGATTAGTGTTGATACTCGTATCTTGAATGGTTTCACCTAAGTTATCTAGAATAGATAATCCATCTTCATGGGTTTGTATGGAATTTAGAATTTTAAGTCTGTTGTTAGGTAGTGAGATGGTAATCCCACCATCTTTTCGAGTTGACTTGAGAATCCAGCTATAAGGAGTTCGAGCTATAGCTTAGTTAGGGGTTTCGGTTTAGGTTTTATAGGCATTAATTGCCATGGTCATCTGCTTGGAGCAATCTTAAAATGTTATATTCTAATAATCCAACCATGTTTAATTCATAGACGGAAGAGGCATTGAACATTGGTTGGGCTAGTTTGTTTGGCATTTCTCCTATGTCAAGGGTAGTGATCATAGCTAAGGAGTTTTTTCAATAAATTTTATTCACTTCGGGGAGAGATTCTTTATCGAATTTTGGTCTAATACGTTGACACTATGAAATTGAGGTGTGTCGGTACTTCCTTCCCGGAGGTTCTTATATTAGAAGATATTTCTATCTTACTAAGTTGGTCTTTAATGGCTTTTAGAAACTCGGGTTTGTTAGTTTGTATTAACTGTTGGCTAGTTCTAGAAACCTGGAACGGTTTAAAAATTAGACTTTTAAGTTTTCACGTCTGCGATTTCGTCTTAGCAAAGGAAATAGCTAGTTTTGGGGTAGGTGAAACAACCGATTGTTGGATATAGGTTTCTATTCTTCTTAGTTGTGTACTTATGATTTAAAGGTTGGTATTTGTAAAATTGGTCTGCTGAACAATGTTTTGGATATTGATAGAATCATCATCTTTGACTTACTTGTAAGGACATACTTCTATCTTAGCTTCTTCATGGGAAAAGGTAATTTTTCCGGGAGGAGGATGTTCTAACCGAATGGTTTTTCCATCTACTTCCCATACAAGGTTTTTATTCCAAGTGCTAACAAGGTTCATTGTTTTGGTGAAAGGATAAGAAATATGATTTGCGAAACATATATTTCAAACCAATCAAAGAATAATATATGAACTTTATATAAGTTCACAAAATCATAAAATTCATTTTGTATTTCTTTCCTATTATCCGAAACTTTTTGAAAAACTAAATTCTTTTTTCGAATTATGTTTTGCATAGAAATCATCATGCAGATTTTTTTATCTACTTCAAAATCATCTTTTTCAATCACATTGCATTCATTGGCAATGTTTTCGATAATGGTCTGAAGCGATAAGAGATTCGAGTGGAGAATCATCTTGGTTTGAATATCCGGGTTTGAGAATGTTTGTACCATAATCAATATTTTATAAAATAGGGTTAGGTGTATCCGAAGTGGAATACCTAGGTTTGGAAAAAGGGAGATTAATGACGGAGGAGTCCGAGAAATTCTACCTATGTCAAAGGTTTTTAAGCTAGAGGCTTCATCGGAGAATCTACTACTAGTAAATCTCCTATCAAAGGAAAGTCTCACACTCCTGTCTATCCGTTGGGATATAGACTTGATTTGGGTATTTGGTTTTAGAATTTCGGGAATGGATAAAGGTCCTGGCTAGTTTATACCTTTTAAGATCTATTCGTCTAGTAAGTTTATGTCTTTTCACTCGATAGGTCCGGGAATAATAATATTGGATCCGGTCAAATTTGTTTGTAAAATGAGTGCTTTACCTTTGATGGACTCGTCTTTTGTGTTTTGAGACAAAGGCGAGAGGTCATGGCTTTGTAATGGACTTTTAAGATCAATGCAACTAGGATCGATCCGTTTGATATCAACACCTCCAAACCCTCATCCTCGAGTCAAAAAAATAATTGCAACGATAAAGCCCATAGGAAATCTTACAAAAAACCTTACTCGTCACCACAAAGGAAAACCCAAAGAAGAACCCTATTACAATAGACCTTCCCACAAGAAATCCAAGAAGCCTTTCAGGAAACCTCGGTCTAGGTATGTTTAGATCTTCCCATAAGAAATCTTATTCCTAGGACATTATATTACCCAAGGACCGATCACTTTTATCGAGTGATCTTTAGCTTTCGCTAATAAGTTTCTTGATAAGATTATATATATATATATATTATACCAAAAAAAATTTTTAAAATAATTTTTCAAAATTTTATTCTAAAATTCAAACATAGAGAAAATTAAATTATATTTATTAGTAAATAAAATCTTATATAAAAAATATTAATTAGATGACAATTTTCATAAAAAATGATAAATTCAAAGAATGAAATTTAAATAATAAGAGTAATATAAAATGAGGTATATGTTAATTTTTAATATATATATATATATGCTATGTGAAAATGAAAAAAAAAAAACTAAGGATTAAAAAAAATGTTACGGATGAGGGACAAAAAATAGAAAAAAGTGTTAAATTTGTATATTAATGGCCAAAAACACACAAAAAATGACCCATAAAAATGACTTAAATTGCCATCAAGTGAATAATAATTTTATGCGTATAAACGGGAAGTGAATATGAATATTAGATATATGAATAATTTGGATTCTCGCATTACGCTGCGGATCGAACTAAGCATATTTATTTCAGTTGGATAACATTTACTATTTATCGGTTAATTAAAATATATTAAATTAAATATAAAAGATAAAATTTCATCTAATTTTATAATTTTTTAATCAAAATTTTGTATATATATATATATATATATTTTATGTTTTCAATAAATTTTGAAGTAAAAAAAAATGATTTATTCTTTCTTATGTATTTATTCTTAAATAAAACCATAATAAACAAATTTTAATATAATTTTTTTTTTAATAAAACATCTTAATATTTTTTTCATTACATTGCATCGAAGAAATAAAGCAATAATTAATATAAAAAACTTGTATAAAAATTAACAAATGAAACTTTTTTACTCATGAGAATATTTTTTAAAAAAATATATACATTTGATTTATATATATATATTCACAAAATAATGAATAATGTTAGTATACAAAATTATATTTGAATTATTAGATAGTTATTCTAAAATATTATTTTAGTTATTTTATTTGAAAAAATCATTTTAAGTATGAAAAAAATAATAGCAAATAGTTGGTATTGTGTGTGTAGATGCATTGTTGATTTCTAATAAAGTCAATGACTCTAATGTTATTATTTTTAATACATCATGATCTGTACTCAACAAGTGAGAATCTATAAAATAAATTGAAAAATATTTTTTAAAAATTAAATGATAAAATATATATTGAAGTTAATAGAGTGCAATAAAAACTATAAAAGTAATTTCGATAAAATTTGATTATGTAAAAAATAAGAAAATAAAATACAAATATTCAATTTTTAAAATTTGATTATATAATAATTAAGCAAATAAAAACAAGTATTAAAAAAAACTTATTCGAATCCACACATAGAGAAAATAAGTCATATTTATTAATAAATAAAACTATAAAAAAAAATAAAAATTAACTTGATGAAAATGTTTATCGAAAAAATTCATTTTAAACAATAAGAGTAGTTTATATTTATTCTAAAATATAAAAACATGTCGGATAAATGTAAAAAAAATATCGGATATATTATATAATCGTCAGTTTGTGTGAAAAAAGTAACAATTGATTTTTAAAAATTTTAACACCTAATTAAATAAAAAAAAGAACATAAATTGATGGGAAAAAAAAAGCATGAGTAGTATTATATAATCGTCGGTTTGTGTAGAAAAAAAATAACGTTTGATTTTTCAAAATTTTAATACTTAATTAAATAAAAAAAGAACATAAATTGATGAAAAAAAGAAAAGAAAAAAAGTATGAGTAGTGTATCGGTTAGGGGATTAAAATTTTTATTTTAAAATTTTACGGACCAAAATGAAACAACTTGAAAATTAAATTAAAAAAAAAAACCTAAATTGATAGAAAAAAGCAAGGGAAAAAAGAAAAAAGAAAAGGCATGCATAGTGAAACAACTTGAAAAAAAATATATCATACTAAAATCTAAAAACATATCGTATAAATGTAAAAAATATCGTATATATTATATAATCGTCGGTTTGTGTGCAAAATAACAATTAAATTTTTAAAAATTTAACGACTAATTAAATAAATAAGAACATAAATTGATGAAAAAAAAACATATAAATTGATGAAAAAAAAAGAAAAAAAAGACATGAGTAGTGTATCGAGTTAAGGGATTAAAATTTTTATTTTAAAAGTTTAGAAATCAAAATAAAACAATCTAAAAAGAAAAACCTAAATTGATGGAAAAAAAACAAAAGAGGAAAAAAAATGTATTCAAAACAACTTTAAAAAAATAATAATAATGCCAAAACCAAAAAAAAAAAAAAAAAAAAAAGAAGAAGAAGAAGAAGAAAGATGAATAGGATTACAAACAGTCACAATCCCACTTCTTTTATAAACATAGTAATAGTAACAGTAATAGGAATATGTAATCCTATATCAGTAATTACCACATAGTTGCGCCTATACTACAAGTGAAGCTACAAAGTGGCAAATGAACAAAGCTAGCTACCATAGTCCATATATGTAGCTTGAATTCAAGGGTATCCCTCAGTCATGTGGCTTGTACATGTAATACTCTGATCAAATTAATTTTCTCTCATGTCATTTAATTCGCTGACCTTTCTTCTCTGCCCATATCTCTTCATTTACAAACACAAAATCCTTCTCTCTCACACCGACCCTCAATAAGTCTACTGATCATCTCCAGTCCATTTCTTGTGTTATATAAAGACCCAAAAGAACTACCACCTTCTTTGCTGATCATTTCACTAACCAAATTACAATGGGTCGATCACCATGCTGTGAGAAGGTGGGCTTGAAGAAAGGACCATGGACACCTGAGGAAGATCAAAAGCTCTTAGCTTACATTGAAGAACATGGTCATGGATGTTGGCGTGCCTTGCCAGCAAAAGCAGGTGATAAACTTATATATGCTAGCTCATACTCTTGCCTGCCTGAAATGTAAAAGATAAAAGGTGTAAGTCTAGCTAGTTGTAACTTTTCTGTCTCTCATGGTTTTAAGGTCTCCAAAGATGTGGAAAGAGCTGCAGGCTTAGATGGACTAACTATCTCAGACCAGACATAAAGAGAGGAAGCTTCAATTTGCAAGAAGAACAAACTATTATTCAACTCCATGCCCTCTTAGGGAACAGGTGTGTATATATATCCATCTGATGTCACTTTGTTTTGATGTGATGTTACTTTTGTTATTCTTTTCTTCACAGGTTCTGAATTTTCCACGCATATAATTTTTTTGAGATCACATCCGTTCATATGAATTCTGGTCTCATCAAATGCGACTTGCTAGCTAGAGTGAAAATTTTTGAACATGTTTTGGTTTTCAAACTTTTGTTGACTGCAACAACCAATCTCCTCAAGTGTAACATGTTTTTAATGTAATGGTCTCTCTTAATCACACTCAACTACTCACTCTAAGCCTCTAACCTATCATCTAGACAAATCTTCTTGACTACCATTTTGAACAATAGTCTCTGCTTACTGTTTCTGCCATCCAATCAACCTTCATTATTGGTTGCTATTAAATGCCGAGTATCTTTAATATTTCTTTTTCTGCAGCCTGACAGAGAAGATGAGGTTTCTTTCTTTCCTTTGTTTGTTTGTGTGGTTGTTTTTTATTTTTCTTTCTCTCTTTCTTATCAAGTTTCTTTATTTTGTCCATACTGATCCATCGATTTTAGAGCATGGAAAATGCTTGTGGTAGTGGATGGTAACTCCTAGGATTCTAATAGTTTTTAAGTTCTGTCTCTATGTTGCCTTGTCTTCAGGTGGTCAGCTATAGCCAGTCACTTGCCAAATAGGACAGATAATGAGATCAAGAATTACTGGAATACACATCTTAAGAAAAGGTTAGCCAAAATGGGGATTGATCCGGTAACCCACAAGCCAAAAAATGATGCTTTACTTTGCAATGACGGTCAAACCAAGAATGCAGCAAATCTTAGCCACATGGCTCAGTGGGAAAGTGCCCGGCTTGAAGCCGAAGCTAGATTGGTCAGGGAATCTAAACTGCGTTCACATTCAATTCAACACCAACTTAGCAGTACTCCACCAGGTTACGTTCCCGGTTCAGGTTCAGGTTCAGACTCAGCTTCAACTTTGGCTCAACCGCTGCGGTCTGTTGATGTGCTAAAAGCTTGGAGTGGTGGTTGGTCAAAATCAAGTGAAGGTAATGGTGGTGGTCTAAACATTGGAATTCGAGGTGACCTTGAGTCTCCAACATCTACTGTAACTCTCTCAGAAAATGCACCACAAGTCATGAATTCAGGCGCAATAATCGGAGAGAATTCAAATCCAATTATTGATTTTGTTGGGACTTCAGGGTCAACAGAGGCTGGAATTATCAAAGAGGAAGGTGAACATGATTGGAAAAGCTTTTCACATTCAAGCCATTTTCCCGATAATTCAGCACCTCTAACTTCAAGCCTTCACGACATGACAATTTCCATGGAAGGACCATGGAATCCTGAGTCTTTAAGGGCAAATAGTGACTGTGGTCATGTTGGAATTGTTATGGAAGAAGGGTTCACTGATCTTTTGCTCAATGATTCTGCAGAGAAGAGTTTGTCATACAATGGCAAGGACTCTGACCATAGTGGTGCCAGCGGCAGCGGTAGCAGCGATTATTATGAAGACAATAAGAATTACTGGAACAGCATTCTAAGTTTGGTGAATTCTTCCCCATCTAACTCACCCATGTTCTAATGCAATAAGATTCTCCAAATCATTGTAATTAGAAAGTGATGCAGGGGCCATATATGAATTGAGTACTATCCCAACATTTCTCAACCTAGCTAATGTGAAGTTCCCTTGATTTTTTTTTCAATGATTATCATTTTTATTAGAAATTTACCGTATATATAGGAAAATGTTTTTTTCCAAAAAGCATTCTGGTTGCTTGCACACTTTCAAATCCTAGCTAGTGAAATTTGATGCTTCAATAGTGTTGTGGAACAGAATTGATCAACTTGAATGCCACGTTAATGACATTATTGACATGTCTTGTTTTGTTTTGTTCCTACTATTTCTATATTCTCTTAGATCGAAAAATTTTATAATACACAAGGAATAACTAGTGACATGTATATTAGTTATTTTTTGAGACTCACTTTGAGAAGAGAGATAGACACATTAAAAAAAAAAACAAGAGAGAAAAAATAAAAAAAATTGAGTGAACGTAAAAATTTTTTTATCATTTTTAATGGGTATGTATGTAATTTTTTTTATGTGTCTATCTCTCTCTTCAAAGGTATCCAACGAATAACTAATGTACATACCACTAATTACTCATTTATTATAAAGTTTCTCCTTCTAGATCTAGTTTCTCAAATATCCATCAAATATCCATGAGACATATGCATATAATCCAAAATGAAAGAAATTGATTCTTAAGGGGTGTGAATGAATATTGATCACTCAAAAATCTTCTCTCTGTCCATAGTAATGTCCTTTACTATGGACAGTACATTGTGGACTCGGACTTGTTCAATAAGCTAGAGAGGTATTTATGAGTCTTTATTGCTGTTAGTTTCATGTCACATTCTGCTTACTAGCTTGAAAGTTATTTTGCAAATGATGGTGACATACCCGAGCTTGATACCTTGATAAAGATTCTCAAACTTTGGGTTAAAGAAAAATTAAAGGTAATTATTATATAGTTTGACATACTGAAAGTGCATTTGGCATTACTTTTGAAAAGCCAATTTTAATTTTAATTTATAATTCAAAAAATATTTTTTGTATATTAGACAAAAGATAAATTAAAACTTTTTTGAAAAATAGAGGTAATATAAATTAGAACTAATAAGTTAAAAGTTTAAAAGGTGTTTTGGTATTATTTTTATTTTTTATTTCTTGTTTTTAAAAAATAAACTTGAAAACAGAGATAGGAAACTTTTCTTTTTTAGTACATAAGAGACAATCTCTTAAGTTTTGAATAAAGTACAATTTTGACTCAAATTTATAATAAATTTTTTATTTAAGTTAAGAATTATTTCCACCAAACATATTTATAAAAATTTTTGAGTCAATTTAAAAAAAAAAAAAACAAATTAAATCAATTTACAAATGTCATATGAAATTAACCTAAATTATCCAAATTAAGTCTTTCTCACGATCATCAATCACCTCTAACCTTTTTCATTCCAAAATCCGTACTTATGTGCTTCTCTTTACTTTCACCTTCAATATAGCTAGTTAGTTGTATTTTCAAAGTAAATAACATTTGTACAAGTGTAAAAAGAAAGACATCTATAGCTTGGTAAATATAGGATATATTAATGGCTGACCTATAACATCTCTTGATGATGATATATCATAATACATGATTTTTGAATGCTTAATTAGAATTTACAAGGGTACCTGTCTAGCTAATACCCTTCAATTTTGTCAACAAGTTTGGTGATAAGACACTGATTTAGTACATAAATGATGCTTTGATGATGATTTATCCTTTTTAGTTGTCCTTTTCCGAAACCTACCTCATTTTCTTCAAAACACTTAACATAGCATTATTTATATAAGCTTTCACTACTATTTGTTAAAGGCTTGTGCATCCATATATATCTAGCTAATTAATGTATATTGCAATTTGGGGGTTTTCCAATTGATCCATGTAATCCTCTTATGATACCATATTTAATGAAAGCCTTTTTTTAGTTTTGGGAAAAAGAATGGAGCATGATCGTCTAATCAAACAATGTATATAGATAGAAATTAATTATTTAATACAATCCATCGTGGCCAAAATATATGTAGTTTCTAGTGTTGCCAAGGCAAGTTATTCCTTTGGCAGGAAAACATGATGACGATAGCTTTCATCAGTGATAAACTTATATGTGTAATGTTTTGTAAAATTATATTTTCTTTTATAACAAAAATATAATATATTTTCATATGAAAATAAATGATCCGAAATTTAAAATAAAAATACCTCTAGTACCATTGTTTGTATTCGTCACTTTTTCGTTACAAAAATTTTGTTATGTCGTTGAGCATTACTTAGCTTATTTATGAAGCCAAACTAATCATAAAATAAGATAAACCTTTCTAATTAATTAAAGTTGATAAGGTGTGTGTGTATATATATATATATATATATATATATATATATATATGTATATATGAGAGAGAGAGAGAGAGAGAGAGAGAGAGAGAGAGAGAGAGGATTTCAAATATCATATTGTATTTTATACCCGATTACATTTTTTAAAAACAATTTAAAAAAAATGAAGAATCGACGACCATCTAAACCATTCCTAATTCTTGAAAAACTCGTCGCTAAATAAAATTAATAACGATTTTGTGACGAGTATTAAACCATCCTCAAAATGCTTGTTGCTAATTATTTAGTGACAATTTTTTCAATCATGTCACTAATTTGATGAAAAGCCATCGCTAAAAGTTGGATAAATTTGTGACTATTTTGGTAAATCGACACCATAATCGTCGTTAAATTTGGACAAATTTGCGATGGTTTTAGCGACTTTTTGAAATTGTGATTTAGCGATGGTTAAAACCGTCGCTACATTTGTTGAAAATATTTTTTTTATTTTTTAAATAGTTATCCGAATTTTAATTATTTTAAATTAACCTATTCTAATTTAAAAACTAAAAAAAATCCTATACATAAGATTTTTAAATATTATAAAATTATTATAATATATATAATTTAATAAAATGAAATATATATTAAAACATTAAATTATGAAAAAAGTATAATGTTTGTTAATATTACAAGAAAAAGAAAACATAAAAGCTAGGAGCGATTGGTAAAGTCGTCGGTCGGAGGTTGAATGGAATCGTCGGTCGGAGGTTGGATGGAATTGTCGGTCGGAGGCTAGGTGGATGAATTGCCTCGCTATATATTTAGCAACATCTCGTTGCATCCGTCGCATCATCAAATGTTGCTCCCAAGTATACTCTTTCAACTCATTTGTAGTAGCTAAAAGCATTGTAATAGAACCCTCAGATGCTGGGTCTATTCCGCATTTCTAGATGTACGATCCTCTAAATTTTTTTATTGTGCCTCATTACCAATATGGAATCGCGAAGTGGCTGAATTAGAGGATGTATCGACATTAGAGTAATAGTAAGAGGCACGTGAACCGAGTCCGTACATCATCTTCCTCTTACTATCTCCTCATCCAATAGCTTTCTTAAAAATCTCATTCATGTCAATGTTTGTCGATGAAGTACCTTATGTCCGTCGACTAGCAACCTTCTCCTCGATTATATATATATATAGTTTTTATAATGATTTCAATATAATTAATTAAACATTTAAGTATATGATAGTACAAGTTTTTTATTTTTGGACTCATTGTCTTCCACGTCCATCCGAGTATGTCAACATACTCATTGAATGTCTTAAAGATATGACGAGTGCAAATATCGAAAGGATGCAATCTACAAAAACGGACAATAAATAATAGTTAAATGAACACATAATTATAGTAATACAGGAAAAAAATGCTTCATAAAATTATGCATAAAACATACTCCTTGTGACCAACAATAATGATTACAATTTGAGGATCGATTGTGGATCCGATAGGTTCGAAGTCGATCCGAGAGGGATGTTCTGCGATGACCTATATTCAAGAACATGATAGTCATTCTATTAAGTGAGGGCATCGATGAAGATGAAAGATAAGATGGGAATAGATGTGGAGGTCTAAAATAAAGCGACTCGAGCTAAGACATGTCAAATGTTGATGGGGTTGACATAGGGGGACGAGGAGGGAAGGACGGAGGCATGTTGATAGAGGGAGCAAGACTACTCTCATGACCACGGTCATCGCCATTGTCGGTGTCTAAACCACGACCCTCACCATATGACATGGGTCACTACATGCTAGAATGTCCCCTACCACGGAGCATTATAACCTATACATTATGACATCAATTAGTTAAAATATTAATATTAACATATAGTATTGATATTAACATAAACAATTTGAAATATATTTATTCTATGAAGAACAAATAAATTAAAACATGGACATACACATATATTTGAATGTTACCTTAAAAATTAGAAGTAAACTATGTAGGACAATAAAACCATATCGCTAATCACAATCATGGTCATCATTGCTACATTTTTCATCAAAGTCTTTCTCAACATCTGTTTTAAACTCAACTTCATTCTCTCGCATTAATTTCACTCCCTTCTAAATCTATTAATGCTCTAGTTGGATCGATCAACGAATGACCTTCATCGTCATCAACTTGGATGACATTGTGTTGGCTCTCCATTTCATTTTTTTTTAAATGGTTCCATAATTGTTTGGACCATAACAAACAATTCGGGCATATCCACCTTCACCCTAGGTTTTACCTTACTTACGACCAACCAATCACACCTTATGTGCTTCGATATAGGATATGTTACATAATAAACCCGATGTGCTTATGTTGCTAGGATGAAGTGATCGGATCTATTTTATGTCCTACGACTATTTACTTCTACTAGCCCATAATGATCATGAACTCTTGTACCAATGCTAGGTGTAGTGTCATACCAATAACATTTGAAAAATACGATTATCTTGGTTGGTAAGGCGGGATACTCAAGTTCTAGTATATCAATCAAACCATCATAGTAGTCATTTTTCTTTACACTATAACTAACTCATTTTATGCACACTCTACTAGACATTTTTACTCTATCCAAATCATAAACTTCAGTATGGAACTTGTAC